GGCTCGCTGCAACCTCCACCTCCTGGATTCAAGCTATTCTCATGTCTCAGCCTCCCGAGTAGCTGGGATTACAAGTGCCTGCCACCCCGCCCAGCTAATTTTTGTATTTTTAGTAGAGACGGGGTTTCGCCATGTTGATCAGGTTGGTCTCGAACTCCTGACCTCAGGTAATCCACCCACCTCAGCTTCCCAAAGTGCTGGGATTACAGGCGTGAGCCACTGTGCCTGGCCAAGATGTTTAATTCTTTAGAAAGTGCCAGGCCGGATGTGGAGAATGAAAAGATGAGCGGCTGAGAACCCAGTCTACAGAAGCGAAAACTAGATTGCACTGCAGGGGGAGGAATGGGAATAGAATATGTAAAGATAATCAGGAAACAGCTTGTGAGGCTTACTGCACGTGGCTCCACATTTCAGGAATGATCTAGAAAGGTCAAAGGAAAGCAGCACAGGAGGACTGTAACAAGCTCTCACAGGACACTTGTGTGAGGCAGATCTTACATGAGGTTATAACTCCTGCCACTGAGGTTGCAGTGCAACCTAATTTTTAAAAAATATAAGACCAGACCATAGAAGAACAAATTGAATAATACCAGGATTACTGTGTCTTGAGGAATCAAAATGCATGGACAGATGTACTCATTTTATTTCCTCTTATATTTCTATAATGTTATTTTGTAGAATGACTCTTGCGACAGTTTTATTTGTACTCTTAATATCCAGCATAGGGAAGAAGTTAATGAATGGCATTTCTGGCTTTACTGTGAAATTACGTCACTGGAGTGTGTTCATGGGGTAAAATATTGTTCCATTACCAAAGGCGTTGTGTTCCTCTCTTCAGTGATGGGGCGACTTGAAATCTTTTTTAGGGTGCCAGGCGAACATTCTTCTAGTGCAGAGAAAGCAGAGTGTCAACCCTAGAAACGAAGATCTGGAGAGCGATGGCTATGAGACAGCAGGAAGTCAGTTGGGATGATCAATCTTTTTTTTTTCTTTTTTGGAGACAGGGTCTCGCTCTGTCGCCCAAGCTGCAAAACAGTGACAAGATCTCAGCTCACTGCAGCTTCCACTTCCCAGGCTCAGGCGATCCTCTCACCTCAGCTTCCCTGGTAGCTGGCACCACAGGCGTGCACCACCCTGCCAAGCTAATTAGTCTTTTTGCATTTTTTGTAGAGACAGGGTTTTACCATGTTACCCAGCCTGGTCTGCTCAATTTTATAGAAGCCATGAAGGGCGTCTTTTCAATATGGTGGACTGCACTAGTCCCCAAACACATACAAATTTTGTATGAAATATGGGGGAAGGGAAAGGTTTTAAATACATACCCAAGAGGAAACACAAGAGAATTCTCCGTGTGTCAAAACAAAAGAAATCAGAGCAAAAATGGCAAGTAGTTGCTGAAGAGGTGGGCATGTGACCAAGGTGTGTCCATCAAGGTGCCCTACCCTGCTGACCACAGTGCCCAGCGTATGAATGGGCAGTTAGCCCACATCCATCACTACCTATCTTTCCTGGGACTTTTCTTCTGGAGCCACCAGCAAAAATACCTTTTGTCTTTTCACTGTTGCTGCTAAACCGTGAGGATGTATGCCTGGACTTCTCGTGGTATCTTACCCAGCACACTGAGAGTCAGTCTGGAAAATGGAAAGAAATACAGTGTCCTGATGGCATTGTTGAAACCCCTGAAGTCACTTGAACCCTGGAACTGCCAGTTATGGAGGTCAATAAATCCTTTTGTTCTTAAGCTAGTTCAAGCTGGGTTTGCATACTAACCAATTCACCCACCACCTCTACTTCCCAATCCTCCCAACTTCACCAAGTCAACAATCATCAGCGGTTGGTGGGCATCTATCTCTAGAGCTCCTTTTCTTTTTCTTTTCTTTTTTTTTTTTTTTTTGAGGCAGAGTCTCACTCTATTGCCCAGACTGGATCTCAGCTCACTGCAAGCTCTGCCTCCTGGGTTCAAGCACTTCTACTGCCTCAGCCTCCTTAGTAGCTGGGATTATGGGCGTGCACCACCATGCCCAGCTAATTTTTGTATTTTTAGTAGAAACGGGATTTCACCATATTGGTCAGGCTGGTCTCGAACTCCTGACCTCAGGTGATCAGCCCACCTTGGCCTCCCAAAATGCTGGGATTACAGGCTTGAGCCACCACACCTATAGCTCTTTTTCTACAAAATGATACACACACTTTTAGGGTGGTTTTGAAATGTGCACAAACCTCACACCTCTCCCATGAAAGAGTAGAGCCTGGTTTCCCGCCCTTAACTGCAGATGAGCCTGTATGCCTGCTTTGACCTGGAGAATGCATGGGACATGACACCGTGAGACTTCTAAGGCAGGGTAACAATCAGACACAGTTTCTGACTGATCCTTTCCTCTTGTGGATGCTCACACTTGGGACTCTGCCTTCTGGAAGGGCTGCACACAGGTGGTCCAGCCACTTCTTCAGCTGAGGTCCCAAGTGGTAGCTAGTGCCAACCATCAGATACATGGGCACGCCAGCTTGAAGGCGCTACCAGCCCCAGCTTCCAGCTGACACCCAGTGGAGCAGAAACAAGCTGTCCCTTCCCAGCCACGCCCAAATGTCAGATTCATGAGCAAATTAAATGTCATCATGTTAAGCCATTACATTGTGGGGTGAATTGTTATGTTGCAGTAGATAACCAGAACAATACCTACGTAAGGATACAGTTTTGCTTTACTTTTTGTTTTACAGAAATGAGATCATACCCTATGTATTGATTTGCAATAAGCAATTTTTTTTTCCTGTGTAACACTTTGCCCTGTTGGTCATTCCATATCAATACATAAAAATTAATTGACATGTTATTAACTATTACAAACAATTATGTCCTATGGATATGCCGTAACTGAAACATTCCTTTATTGATTAATGATTAGAGTGTTTCAAATTTTTCTTGATGGCAAACCATTCTGAGATAAATATCTGTGTATTGGTTCCATCCTGCACAAGAATATTTCTCTATGATTGATACATAGAAATAAAATTTTAGCAAAAAAGGTTTTCACACCATCTGTAGAGGCTAAGGCAACTCTATTCTTAGACGCTAATCCACCATGTTGACATCTGATTAAGCCCAGTTCTAAGATTTCTATGTTATCTACTTTAAGATACATCCCACCAGCATCTGTGAGTACTTACTTCTCCTTACCTTTGCTGTCATTGGATATTAACCAAATAGAATTTTTCCTATCTTGAGAAAAAAACATTTATACACAGTTATATAATACATTATATTTATAATAAAAAATTACATATATAGTACATATATATCCATGTTGTATATTTTATTTTATTTTTGTTTTTGTCATTTTTTGAGACAGAGTCTCCCTCTGTCGCCCAGGCTGGAGTGCAGTGGCACAACCTTGGCTCGTTGCAACCTCTCCCTCCCAGGTTCAAGCAATTCCCTTGCCTCAGCCTCCTGAGTAGCTGTGACTACGGGTGCCCACCACCATGCCCGGCTAAATTTCGTGTGTATATATATATTTTTAGCAGAGACAGGGTTTCACCATTTTGGCCAGGCTGGTCTCGAACTCCTGACCTCAGGTGACCCACCTGCCTCAGCCTCCCAAAGTGCTGGATTACAGGTGTGAGCCACCACAGCTGGCTCATATTGTATATTTTAGGTATATAAACATATGTATTAAGAATATATAATTTGCACTTCCCTTGTTTCTGTTGCCTTTGTACAACTTTTCAGATGTGTATTGGCCATTTGTATTTATTCTAAAATGATTCATTTTTCTATTTATTACAGAGATACTTTCTCCAAGTCTGTTATTGTTATTTTATATTTGTTTATGGCATCTTTGTCATAACAAAGCTTTACATTTTGGGATCATCATCTCTGAGCTCTCTTCTTTATAGAATTTATATTTTACTTAAGAAAGTCATCCCCACCCCCAAAATTATAAAATATTCTCTTACAGTCTTTACAGTTTTTCAAATATCTCTTTTATCTATCTGAAATTTATTTTGTTTTTTAGGGTGGGAAGTCACTGAAATTCTTTGACAAAATGGAAGAATGTGAGGGATGCCGTGTGGTGTAAGGAAAGAGTGCTGGCCCTGAAGCCAGAGGACCTGGTTTCAGTCTCTGGCGTGTACCAGCTGTGTGATCTGGGTGGAATTTCTTCATTTCTTTGACCCTCAGTTCCTCATTTATAAAATGAGTAATGATGCCTACCCCTCAGAGTGTTAATTCATATGAAGTTCAAATAAGATAATGTATTAGTTCATTTTCACACTGCTAGAAAGAACTGCCTGAGACTGGGTAATTCATGAAGAAAAGAGAGTCAGTTGACTCACAGTTCTGCATGACTGGGGAGGCCTCAGGAAACTTACAATCATGGCGTCATGGCAGAAGATGAAGGGGAAGCAAGGCACATCTTATTTGGTGGCAGGAGAGAGAAAGAGAGAGCAAAGGGTAAGTGCCACACTTTTAAACCATCAGAGCTCATCAGAACTCACTTACTATAACAAGAACAGCATGGGGAAAATCCACCCCCATGACTCACCCAGGTCCCTCCCTTGACATGCGGGGATTACAATTAGAGATGAGATTTGGGTGGGGACACAGAGCCAAACCATATCAGATAACATATGTAAAAATGGCCGTAACTTAATGATGTATATTAACTCCTCTATTTCCTCAAATAGATGGTCATTGTCTCAACCCTATATTGAATACTCCATTACCTTCTCACTCGTGGAATGTCAACTCTATGATATATTAAATTTTCATAGACACATGGGCGTCTCAATTAGTTTCCACTGATTTATTCATTTATTCCAGTGAAAAATCTTCGCTGTTTTCATTTTACTAGCTTTATAGTATTTTATAATATTTGATAAGGCAAGCACTCTGTTTGCTTCCTGTATTCATTTTTGGATTGCTATAAAGAACAACATGAGACTGGGTAATTTGTGAAAAGAGGTTTAATTGGCCTATTGTTCTGCAGGCTGTACAGTAAGCATAGCTGGGAGGCCTCAGGAAACTTACAATCATGGCGAAAGTCAAAGGCGAAGCAGGTATGTCCTACATGGCCGGAGAAGGAGAAAGAGAGTGAAGGGGGAGGTGCTACACACTTTTAAACAACCAGATCTTGTGAGAATTCACTATCACAAGAACAGCAAGGGGGGAAATCCACCCCCGTGATCCAGTCACCTCCTACCAGGCCCCTCCTCCAACAATGGAGATTACAATTTGACCTGTGATTTGGGCAGGGACACAGATCCTAACAATATCACTTTCATTAACATTTATAGATTAACTTGGAGAACACCTATACATTTGGAAGATGAATCTTCTCATGCAGGATATGAGGTATTTCCATTTATTCATGCTATCTATGATAGCCTTCAGTTATATTTTACAGTTTTCTTCACATTTCTTTCTGGCGTATTGTGTTTTAGTTGCTACCACACACGGATCATTTTTTCCATGACTTTGTTCTATTGGTTCCTATTTACATGTAATAACAAGCTAATTTTTGTAGGTTGATCTCAGATCTGGCCCCCTTGCTGATATTTCTCATTTGTTCTAGAAGTTTGTCAGTTGACTCTTGTAGAGTTTCCAGGTAGAGGACTGTCAGTACAACACTGCCAGTGCCATACCCATGACCGATAGTGGCCATTCCTGCTTCCTTTCCTTTCCTCCTTTAATTCCCTCTTACTGAATGAGCTGGGACTTCAATGAAAAGTTAAGTACAGTTGGCAATAGCAGGCATCAGAGTCTTGTTCTGATTCACATGGAAATGCTTTGAATATGTCACTATTATTCTGATGTGCCAGGTATTTCCAATAAATATTGCTTTATCAGGTACAGGCAAGTTTCTTTTATTGTTTTTGGTATTTTTGGAGTATTGCCAGAAGTTAATGCTGAATTCTATCAAATACTTTTTTGGGGTTGAGGCTGGGGATAGCTACGTGTGCAGATCTTCTCTATTTATTTATTTTAGAGACAGGGTCTCATTGTGTCACCCAGGCTGGAGTGCAGTGTTACAATCAAAACTCACGGCAGCCTTGAGCTCCTGGACTTAAGCAATCCTCCTGCCTCAGCCTCCTGAGTAGTTGGGATTACAGACATGGGACACCATACTGGCCTTTTTTTTTTTTTTTTCAATTCAATAAATTTTGATTGCATTCCAGCAGGTGCAACCTCCACCTCCCGGGTTCAAGTCATTCTTCTGCCTCAGTCTCCCAAGTAACTGGGATTATAGTTGCCCACCACCATACCCGGCTAATTTTTGTATTTTTAGTAGAGACGAGGTTTCGCCATGTTGGCCAGGCTGATCTCAAACTCCTGACCTCAAGTGATCTGCCCCGCCTCGGCCTCCCAAAGTGCTGGTATGACAGGCATGAGCCACCATACCCGGCCTGATTTGATATTTTATTAGTAAGTTTGTGTCTCTGAGATGGGGCTTTTAAAAAAACTATTCTTGTAGTGTGTGTGTGTGTGTGTGTGTGTGTGTGTGTGTGTGTGTGTGTCAGTGTCAGGAGTATATTAACCTTATGGAATGAATGTAGGAGGTTTACCTTTTTTTTTTTTTTTTTAAATGCCCTGGAAGCATTTATTTATCCTTCAAGGGCAAATTCCTCTTCAAGGAATTATTTGTCCCTTGAAGATTTGTTGGAAATAACAGCAAACAATAACTTTAGCAGTAAGTCTTTGACTACCTTTTCAATTTCTTCTCTTCAGGGTCTCTATCTATCTCTTTTTTTTTTTTTTTCGAGACAAGAGTCTTGCTCTGTCGCCCAGGCTGGAGTACAGTGGCTCGATCTCAGCTCACTGCAACCTCCACCTCCCAGGTTCAAATGATTCTCCTGCCTCAGCCTCCCCTGTAGCTGGGATTACAGGTGTGTGCCAGTGCACCCAGAAAATGTTTGTATTTTTAGTAGAGACACAGTTTCGCCAGGTTGACCAGGCTGGTCTTGAACTCCTGGCCTCAGATGATCCGCCTGCCTCAGCCTCCCAAAGTGCTGGGATTACAGGTATGAGCCACTGTGCCTGGCCTCTATCTCTTCTTGACTCAGTGTTATCACTTTCTATTTTCTTTATTCCGTATTATATTTTTCATGAAAATGTTCTATTCCATCTGGTCTTAAAATGCATTGGCATACTGTTGAACATATCACTTACTTTTTCATCACCTTGATGACTCTGGTTGTATCACCTTTCTCATTTCTAATATTATCGATTGTATCTTCTCTCTTATTTCTTAAATTGGCTTGTCACATACTAGTCCATTTAACTGATCTTTACAATAAACCAGTATTTGGTTTTATTGATTAAATCTATTCTTTTTCTTTTCTTTTCTTTTTTTTTTTTGGAGACAGAGTCTTGCTCTGTCGCCCAGGCTGGAGTGTGATGGTGAGCTCTTGGCTTACTGCAGCCTCCGCCTCATGCAATTGCTCCGGCTCAAGCAATTCCCCTGCCTCAGCCTCCCAAGTAGCTGGGATTATAGGCACATGCCACCACCCCTGGCTAATTTTTGTATTTTTAGTAGAGATGGGATTTCACCATGTTGGCCAGGTTGGTCTCGAACTCCTGACCTGAGGTGATCCACCTGCCTTGGCCTCCAAAGTGCTGGGATTACAGGCGTGAGCCACTGTGCCTGGCTTGTTATTGCTTTTCTTTTACTGATTTATTATATCATCAGCCTGATTTTTATCTTTCTTTCCGTTTTTTTCATAGCTTCTTGAGTTAAAAGCCTCTTGTATTTTCAATCTTTCTGGTTTTCCAGTACATGAATTTAACACCATAAAATTTCATCCAAATACTCCTTTGTTTGCATCCTGCATATTTATAATGTCATTTGTTTCTAATAGCCTATATTTTTAATTTTATATTTTCTGTGATTCAGAAGTTACTTAGAAGCACGTTTTAAATTTTTCATAGGTATAATACTCTCCTCTAGCTATCTTATTAATTTTATCGCTGATTTTATGATGCTGTGGCCAGACGTTCTCTGGTCCTCATGATTTCTGCTTTTTTTTTTTTTTTTTTCTGAGATGGAGTCTCACTCTGTCACCAGGCTGGAGTGCAGTGGCACGATCTCAGCTCAATGTAACCTCCGCCTCCTGGGTTCAAGTGATTCTCCTACCTCAGCCTCCAGAGTAGCTGGGACTACAGGCACGTGCCACCACACCCATCTAATTTTTGTATTTTTAGTAGAGACGGGGTTTCACCATGTTGGCCAGGATGGTCTCGATCTCTTGACCTCGTGATCTGCCCCCCTTGGCCTCCCAAAGTGCTGGGATTACAGGCATAAGCCACCATACCTGGCTTGATTTCTGCTTTTTAGAAATCTTTTTTGTTCCTCTGATATGCTTGCACGTGGTCAATCTCCTATTATTTAGACATTGTGTAGCCACATTTATTTAATCTGTCAATTTCTAAGAAAAGTATATTCATATAATTTACTATGGTTGTGGATTTGTTTCTTTTATTTCTACAAGTTTTCACTTTTGTGTGTGTCCTATATATATACATGTACATATATATTACTCTATGTGTATATATGTGCTATATGCATATACGTATATATGTATATATACATATGCATATATACCCACATTTTATACATGTATATATGTGTATGCATCTGTGTATATATATGGTATATGGTGTGTATATATGTGTATATATGTATATGCTATATGTATATGGTGGATATAGTTTGGCTCTGTGTACCCACCCAAATCTTATCTCTAATTGTAATCCCCATGTGTTTGGGAAGGGGCCTGGTGGGAGGTGATTGAATAATGGGGCAGACTTCCCCTTGCTCTTCTCATGATAGTGAGTTCTCACAAGATCAGGTCGTTTGAAAATGTGTGGCATTTCCCCCATTGCTCACTCTCTCTCCTGCTCCCTCATGTAAGACATGCTTGGTTCCCCTTCACCTTCTGCCATGATTGTAAGTTTCCTGAGACCTCCTCAGTCGTGCTGACCTGTGAGTCAACTAAACCTCTTTCTTCATATATTACCCAGCCTCAGGTAATTCTTTATAACCCTGTGAAAATGGACTAATACGGATTATGGTACCCAGAGTGGGGTACTGCTATAAAGACACTTGAAAATGTGGAGGTTACTTTGGAACTGGGTAATGGGCAGTTTGAATAGTTTGGAGGGCTCAGAAGAAGACAGAAAGATGTAGGTAAGTTTAGAACTTCCTAGAGACTCATTGAATGGTTTTGACCAAAACGCTGATAGTGATATGGATAATGAAGTCCAGACTGAGGTAGTCTCAGATGGAGATGAGGAACTTGTTGGGAACTGGAGTACAGCTCACTCTTGCTATGCTTTAGTAGAGACTGGTGGCATTGTGCCTCTGCCTTAGAGATCTGTAGAACTTTGAACTTGAGAGAGATGATTTAGGGTATCTGGCAGAAGAAATTCCTAAGCAGCAAAGCATTCAAGAAATAACCTGGCTGCTTCTAACAGTAGTCATATGTGTTCACAGAGAGATGGTCTGAAATTGGAATTTTGTTTAAAAGGGAAGCAAAGCATAAAATGTTTGGAAAATTTGCAGCCTGTGCAATGTGGTAGAAAAGAAAAATCAATTTTCTGGGGAGAAATTCAAGCCAGCTGCAGAAATTTACGTAAGTAAAGAGAAGCCAAATGTTAATAGCGAAGACAATGGGGAAAATGTCTGCAAGGGATTTCAGAGAGCTTCATGGCAGCACCTCCCATCACAGGTCCAGAGACCTAGAAGGAAAAATGATTTCATGGGCTGAGACCAGGGTCCCACTGATCTGTGCAGCCTTGGGGCATAGCACCCTGTGTCCCAGCCTCTCTAGCTCCATCTGTGGCTAAAAGGGGCCAAGGTACAGCTTGGGCTGTGGCTTCAGAGGGTGCAAGTCCCAAGCCTTGGTGGTTTCTATGTGATGTTGGCCCTGCGGGTGAGAAGAAGGCAAGAATTGAGGCTTGGGAATCTCTGTTTAGATTTCAGAGGATGTATGGAAATGTCTGCATGTCCAGGCAGAAGTCTGCTGCAGGGACAGAGCCCTCATGGAGAACTTTGAGGGGAAACGTGGGGCTGGAATCCCCACAAAAAGTCCCCACTGGGGCACTGTCTAGTGGAGCTGTGAGAAGAAGGACACTGTCCTCCAGACCCCAGAATGGTAGATCCACCAACAGTTTGCACCATGTGCCTGGAAAAGCCACAGGCATTCCACACCAGCCTGTGAAGGCAGCCAAGGGGGCTGTATCCTGCAGAGCCACAGGGGAGGAGCTGCCCAAGGTCTTTGGAGCCCACCTATTGCATCAGCATGCCCTGAATGTGAGACATGGAGTCAAAGGAGATTATTTTGGAGCTTTGAGAT